AATAATATGGAGACCATCATCATTAAGTTAGTAGGTATTCATAAAGAGCTGGGTCTTTAGCTTTTTCTTAAAGGTGCAGAGGGACTCTGCAGATCACATGGAGTTTGGAAGTTCATTCCACCACCGGGGGGCGACAGAGGAGAAGAGTCTAGTCAGCGTCTTAGGACCCTGTTGTGAAGGTTGGATCAGACGCCTTTCATTGTTGTGAATTCTTTCACATTTACCTTTCAATATTATGAATTTTCTTGTTGTATCCTTTCTTTTATTGCATCCCTTTGCCACCTTCTCTGAGGATTTGATCTGAGTCTGCTCCACGCAAAAATGCACAAAAAATAACTTTAAATAAAAAATACAAGATTTTGTTTTGTGAGGTTTGTTTATGTGCCATATATCTGGTTAACTTGGCAATCAAGTTAAAGCAAGAAAAGTCTGTATGATACAATCCCTTAGTCAATTCTCTATTTCTTATCAGGAAGTTATTGAAAGAAAGTTCTTTAAATCAATCCTTTTATGTCACAAGTATAAGAAGTGACCACTGTTAGAAATTGTTAGTTATTCCTTATCTCTTGTTTTCTCAATTTTTAAATGTTTTAATTTTGTTGCATTTTCTGCAATTTCATTTGTGAACTCTGATATCAGGTGGTTGTTGTGGTTTGTATCACCTTTTAAATGTCTTCTGGGAGCGGTTTCCATACGAGTCATTTACAGATTTCTACAACCCAATCACACCTGCTTTTTTAAATTTCATTCTTAAATTCTTTAATATTCTTGTATAAAATATACGCCTAAAACATTCATTTCCGGCTCCCTTAAAGACAACCACAAATGATTTACAACTAAACATGATATAATGTCATTGACCTCTAAAGTGGGACTTCCACGTTTAATGACCGAAGTGAAATGTCTCTCTGAGTATCCCATCACCACTCCATCAGCATCATAATGACCCCGCATGATGGACTGTCAACATTGACTTTTTCCCTCTCACACATCCCCCCAAAAAACTGCTCTAAAGGCCATCAAAGTGTTGTAAACACATGAAACACCTGTCTGTCTGCAGAGAGGGGGGTTAATTAGCCATGCAGCACGCTGTAGGTCGGTGCAATCAGGGCCTTAAATCACATAATCACAGAGAGGACGAGGAGGATAATGTGATTGTCTGTCGAGGGTCGTAAAGGATGATGACTGTCACTTTCTCTTAGACGTCTAAAAATGGTGGAGATGACCGGAAACATAAAAATGACATGATAGAGAGAGGGCTCTGTGTGTGTGTGTGTGTGTGTGTGTGTGTGTGTGTGTGTGTGAGGGGGATGGACAGTTAGAGGGAGGAGGAGGGAAACTGGAAGGTGGATGGTATATAAGAAAAGAAGATGTAAGCGTTGTAAAAGATAGACGACCACAGTGAGCTGATCAGCAGAGGGAGTGTCAGACTCAGACAAACAGAAACTCATTCAGCTCAGGTGCAGACAGTCAGTCCAGCAGGGATCCAGCATGCGGGCTCTGGTGGTGATGTTGCCTCTGCTGTTGTGTGCGGTGTTGCAGGTGCAGCAGGTGAGGGCGGAGGTGAAGGCGGTGAAGCTGTGTGGGCGAGAGTTCCTGAGGGCCGTGGTTTATACCTGCGGGGGCTCGCGCTGGAGGAGATTCCTCACTGAGACTGACATGGACGGTGAGACCACTTCACTTTTTTAAGAATCTCATTTTATTCTATTTTAAAAGAGGAGTCCCAGAGAGGACCGTATTTTGTTAGATTATCTTCTCATTCACTGCAAACAAGCATGTCAATTAATTTTTGTGTGTCTGCCTTGAAACAAATCTACCCATAAACTGCTGAAGGCTTATATTTTCATTTCAACAATTCTGCACACAAGACCAAGACTTTTGTCCTGTAACAATTACAATGGAAGCACATTAAGAAGTGTTTGTCTGCTAAATATGAGCATGGACAAAAGATTAGCAGAGTCAAAAATGTTTTTCATTTTCACGCTGGTTCCAGAATATTGACTTAAACACACTTTCAAAAATATTAAACTATCTAGTTTCAAACTTCTCAGTGAAGGTCCAGGGTTTAGTTTCTTCCCTTTTCCTCTAGCCCGAGCTCAGTGAGACTTCTGAAGAAACAGACCTTTAAATCATAGTCATAATCATTTATAAAACAAATTAAAAAAAACTAAAAAAAACATCTATGTTATTAATGTTAATTACCCAATAAAAATTTTACTGAAACTCCTAGCACATATTATCAGATACATTTAAGTTTACTATAAATACTAATGCAATATTTATCGTGTAACATCTGGACATGAGGGGGCTGGGATGGGAGGGAAGTAAAGTATACTTTAGACACTATCCATTTCATTGTGCTAAAGATGTGCAAATGTATATTTGCAGTGTATGTTGCAAACAAATGCACATCAATGTTGCTAATTGAAAACCCAATAAAAACTGTTAAACAAAAAAAACAGTAAAAGCCTTCAAGAAAATAAAAGTGATGAAACCAGGAAAAATGCTAAACTTGTTTTGAAATTAAAGCAAACTAATGAATTCAAAAAAAGAATCCTCTAACAAATCTTTTAACACATGAAGTTTTGCCCGTAGTGGTTTCATCTTATTCCAAACGTTCAGTTTCTAAATGAGTTTGTTTTCAAACCATCATTTCATCTTATTTAGAAACGTTTCAGACATAAGTGGTCATTTCTTTTGTAATCACAGCTGAGTAAGAATAAAGTTGTATAGAGGTTGAGAAACACTAATAGTGGAGGACATGTTCATATTTTGAAGAGTATTTCTAGACTGTGCCTCCACCATTTGATGAAATGTCATTTTGTAACTTTCTCTGCTAAAGTTTTCTCTCATAGTCATCTAAACCTGTTGTTTTTTAAATTTTCTTCTATTTATGTTTTACTGATGTTACTTTCACTGACTTAGGGTTTCTTATTTAAATTCACCGTTTACTCTTCCTTAGTGCCGAGCTTTGTGAGATCATTTCCAAGTTAAATGTTAACAGATATCAAACAAAAGGAAATGAAACTCCTGAAATCTGTAGCTTTACACTTTTTGTTCTTTTATTTAGGGACTTTTGCACTCAATCAAACTGCTGTTATTCTTCTTTCATATACTATATATTATGAACGCAGTGGCTTCAGTCTATCAGCTGTCCTGTAGCAGATCCATCATAGTCTCTTACTTGATCTTATTATGTGAAGGGATCCCACAGATCCTGATTAAAAGCTGCAGCAGTCTGTTCCCCGGCCCCGCCTCCCTCCCTCCCTCTCTCTGTCCGTCACACACACACACAAACTAAGTTAGCTGATAAAGTCGTGCTGATTACAAAGAGTAAAGTGACACTGTAGAAGACAAATGACACTGAGATGATCTGTAAAGTCGTTTAGAGTTTCCTTATTTAATGGACCATGTGTAGATGTCAATCACAGCAGACTGATTCGATTCTGTAAGAGACATAAAGAATATTACTTTTTAAACCTTTTTTTGGTTTTGTAGTTCCAGGTGATCGCAGCAGTCTGGAGGATCTGAGCAGCATTAATTCAGGCTCCCAGCTGACCAGACGAGACATAAATAACATGCTGACCACCGTGTGCTGCCAGGTGGGCTGCAGGAAGAGCGACCTCACCTTCCTCTGCTGAGGCGCCCACCCTCTCTCTCTCTCACTTCTCCATCACTGTCCAAGTGACCAAAGTGACTCTGAATCTGAAATCTGAATCCAAATACTGATGTTAAATAATCAATGTAATAATTATTGTAGTGGATGTACATTAATCCTGGCTGCTATTTTTGTATTTCCTTTAAAATTGTTGTAGATGCAAATATGACAATTGAGCATCTGTGAACATGTTTCTGAGACTTATTTGGAAGATTTTACATGTGCAACCAAAAGAATCACAACCATTATATGAATCAACCCATGGGAATTAGGAAGTAAAGCTAAAAGTGCACTCAGGGATGATGTCCGAGTAGGTTCTCAGTCGTCAAAGCTTGATCCAAAAGGTAACTGGACCGGTTGAAGATCTCAGCTAATGACTCATCAGCATGCTAAAGATCCACAGAGGCTTACATTTCTATCTCTGTCCACCAGATAGTTTAGAAACTGAAAAAGCCTTTCAGATGAGAAACATCTTCAACCAGTCCAGTCACCTTTTGGATCAAGCTTCGAACTCAGGGATGATATTCCAGCAGGCAAACAGAAAACAGATGTTCTGAGCCTCAGTCTATGTCCTGTTTGTAGTTAGTCTCCACAAAGTTGCAGGCTTGTAAAACTTCCATCTCTGCTTTGATTTATGTATAGGACATTGAGTTGTATTTTGTCATTTCTGTTTTTTTTTTTTTTTTTTTCGCAAATAAATGTTCTTGCACAATGCTAACATTTTGTGAGGTGTGAGATTTTAAATAGCTGCACTCCTGGAAATGTAAACCCAACACTTAAGTTATATTAAAGTCTTTATGTGATTTTTCACACTTAAATATAATATAAATCAAGTATATCCTCTGAAAATAACTCTGTGAGTCATGACTGTCTACAATGGGTGTAACACCCGAGTCCCACTGTCTGTGATGTTTTCAGAGTTTTCAGAGTCCTATCTTCAGTTTGTTTACATCGCCCGGACGGCCGGCTGACTCCTCCCCTCGTGTATAAAAGTTGTTTAATTGAGGGACTAGAGAAAAGAAGAATAACATACTGTACTCACTGCTTAACTGTGTTTCTAGATCACGCTCATTTCAGGTAAATTTACATGCAGTGTGAAGATACCAGCATAATAAAGATCGCTAGCATTAGCATGCTAACACAACAACGCACCGCAAGTTGTTTTGGTTTCATGCTGGTGCTCAAGGGCGACATCTGCTGGATCAAAAAATCACATATAAAGCCTTTAATAAGAAACATCACATCGTCTACATCTACTGTTAAAAAAAAGTATTTTAAAAATATAGAATAGGACGAGCAGCATGAATTTATAAAAAAATAAATCAAACATTACAGCAGACGGTTCCAGTTATAACTTTTATTGGTTTTCGAAAGAAGCAAACTAGGTTTCTCAGTTCATCTTAGCTTTGTTATGTTCTGTACAAACTGCTTGCACATGTGTTTGAGGTTAACGGTACAGAACCAAAAAGCATTCTGGCTTATAGCACACATAGACACACTCCCCGCTCTCTTCTCCACAACGATACAGGTAACTGACATTCAGCACAACACGTCATTTCAGTACTATCTATCACCATCAGATGCCCCACTGTTTACTGCATGCTCTGCATGCAATAATGAATTACTGCAGGACCAATTCACTACAGAGATGAAGATCTGGAAAGTACAAGTTTTGATCCATTTTTAGATTAGCTGCAAAGAATCACCAGAGAACTGATGAACTGAGAGTGAGTTCTGAACTATAACACGACTTTCAAATAGAGAGACACGTTATCCGTGATGTAGTGGTCATTTAAAAACAGATGCATGATGGGAATGTTGGGCCTCTGCAGATAATGCTGTAGTGACTGTTGCACTGATAGCTACAAGGTTCACGAGGAAGGTAACAGCTACTTCTCAGACATGTCGATCCGTCAGGTCGACAGAATGAAGGACAAACATGACTGAGAATCTTTTTTTTGATCAAATTAATGTGCGAGCTAAACGGCACCAATCATCATCACTATCTGATCTGAGATTGGCCAAAAAGCCACATGTTTAAAACTAAGTCTGATCGAGAGTACTTTATCATTAAATAGAAGTATTGTCATGTTGTTCTAAATTCAGCCTAAGGTTTTCTTTACCTACTTGTGGAGGACCATGATTGGTTGCATTTAGCAGAATATTTGACATACAGTACAGTACGGAGGTCACACACACACTTCTTGTTCTTCATGTTGAGTGTCAGAGCGTTCAGGAAGTTCAACATCATCAGCACAGTGTTTTTACACATTAAACAATATAATATTTTTTCACTTTTATCTGTTTTAAAAATATTCAGCTTATTCTCCTTAACAGAGGACTGACTGTCTGGGGTACACACACACACACACACGTAAAATACAAAAAGAAAGAAGAAGCATTTTGGTCAACTTAACTTTGCTCCACAACCTCTTTACACTCATGTCATCTCACAGAGACCATTACGATTATGCAAAATAAAGCCATGGATTCAAGCACTGGTTGGATGATCGGGGGGTGTTATGATATAGTCAGGGGGGTTTAGGTACCACTGAGGTGAGGAAGGAGAACAGGTAAGAAAATAGGTCAGGACTTAATATGTAGATGTGGAAACTGAGAGTGCTGGATTAATACAGCTGTCTTTTCTTGTTTTTATCACAATGAAGTTTGAATATAAAAAAAAAACAATACAGCAAACATCTGGTTCCAGCAGTCAGTGGTACCATGCTCAGAGAAAACTGTTTGCTCCCGTCGTCTTTGTTTTGACCTTTATTAAAAGAAAAGATCAACAATTCAGGAAAAATGGACTGACTCACTTTCTTTCTAAGAATCAGAAGATTGATGCCACCTTCATGTCCGTTAGCTTAGCATAAAGACTGACCACTGGGGGGCACTGTTCAACGTAAACAATACTGACTCTTTGAGGCTGAACCCGGGCGTAGCTTAGTGCTAACCAAATGCTAACCATCGCACTGTGACAATGCTAACAAGCTAATGTTTAGCAGCTATAGTGTTGACTATGTTCAACATCTTAGCATGTTAGCATGCTGACATTTGTGAACTAGCATCTCTGAACAAAGCTCACACAGGCTTATCGAAATAATATTTCATATTTTGATTGGCAGATATTTGGTACATGGCCAAAATACTGGACACATACTTTCTCTGGCGGCGGCCCAATATAAAATGCTACGATATCCACATAGTCGTTACAATCCTGATGACTAGCATAAACATGTGGATCAATTTTAATGTCAGTCTAAGTTTGGACCATCCACACTGCCAGGATCGATAAAGATCACTATAAAGTTTGTTTATCCTCTGTTGACTATATCTTTACATTTCCACAGAGCCACACTAGCTGTTTTTAAGTCTTGATGCTAAGCTAACTGTAGCCTGATGCTGAGCAGACGGATATAAGAGTGACACTGATCATCTGTAAATCCAAAAAAATAAAGAAGAAAAAGCCCATTTCCCCCAAATGTCAAACGAACACTTTGAAGTGGAACCTTGCCCATGGTTGAACTAACTCTACATTAACACTGCTTTCACAAAGCATAACACAGCATCCAGGAAGATAGTCATCTTTTTCTTTAAATTACCCCTCCCCCACCCATATATATAGCTCAAATCTTATCTGTTGCACTTGAGTTAAAAAATTATATCTGAAATCAATTCAAAAAATTATACCTCATACTGTACACAGGTTACCCAACTACACAGATAACAAAAAAAAAAAGAGAGAGAGAATTCAAATATTTATACCTTTAAGGGTTCTGAGTCGTGTGATACCATTCAAATTCTATTCGTATACAGAATCACATATTTTATACAACAAATCGTCATCATCAATAAATAAAAATAGAATGCTGTCATGTACTCTGGAGGCTATCGCTGCTGTCCCGGGAACAACAGAAAGGCTATCTGACAATACGAGGAAAAACACCAAACGCCCTTTAAGATATATATTATTGATTTTAAATGACACTTTGTACACTTTGTTTTTGTTCTGACGGGAAAACTCTTTTTTTTCTTACTTTTGCAACCAGTACATTGATTGATCATTGCAGCTGCCTAACTAGCTAAGAATCCCCCCCCCCTCCCCCACGTCTGCATAACCTGACATAACAAAAAAGATTACAGTTTGATTGACTGATCAGTGCATTTTCTATTAAAAAACGATGAGATCCAAAGTCATGTGACCCTGTAGTACCAGTAGGTGATGCATGAGAATCTAGTTCTGTTATGTAGATATTAGTTTCTGTTTGCTAACGAGCAAAGACTAAAAACATCTTTCACTTTAGCTGTTTGTGACAATGTGTCAGAATGCATCAGTTACTGCGTACACACGCTGGCGGCCTCGGGGCGAGACAGACTCTGACAGAAAGATGATTCATACAGCCGTATTAACTGCTAATGAAGGTTGAAAACTTACTATGTCTCGTCCTTCGCCCTATAACTAGCCTAACTTTAGTATGACATGTTGTGTTGTGTGTCTGACCACTAAGATCTTATTCAATGGTTGTTGTTGTTTTTTGTCACAGCCACAGTTCAAATCTGTCCCAAACACTGTTTAGTCCACGTCTTTGGTCAGGCAGCTGCAGTGAAACTTTTTTTTTTTTTTAAAAACACACCACCACCACACATTGACCAGAAGGAGGATGGAGACAGAGGCACAGACTTCAGAGGGGAGGAAGAACCCAGGTGTCTGACAGCAGCAATACGGATGTTATGAAATGAATACAAATACGATAATTACGTGACCTAAGACAGCTCCACGATGCTATATGCAAGTTATACAATACTGCTGGGTAGGCTTGCAGATCCTGTCGTGGACCGTGTGGGTTCAGAGAGGGGCAAATGGAAAGTCTGTCTGGTGTTAGTTTGTGTCTCTGTCCTCGGGGGTCAACCTCGGTCCGCTGCCATTGATTTGTTCAACAGTGCGCTTTTCAGCAGCAGCGGTTAATTGTCTGCGAGGTATTTTCCTGAAAAAGAAAACCATCAAACATTTATGGATCTTTTGTAGACATAAGTTTAAAAAGGCATTTTTCAGAGTTTCAATCAACACTCATAATTCATCATTTAAAAAAAAGGGGGTATACTGACCTGCGGCAAACCTCTTCTTGACGAGGGAGAAGCGGTATCCTGGTCCTGCCAGTTCAATGTCACAGCCTGACAACGTGCTGCCCTCGCTGGTGAACTGTACGGCTAGTGGAGCCGGTTTACTGGGGCCTTCTGTTAGCTGGAATCGTGCTAACAACGACCCCACACCTGAGAGAGGAGAGAGCAAATTCAGAGAGACTTCTGTCAGCATCAAGAACGATTCATTCCCAAAAGTTTAATAGTGAAGTGACAGCTTTGAATCAGATGTTGTTATAATTTACTCTTTGAAACGTCTCGACTCTCTTAAAGTCTGTTCAACATCAAATTGTTTGCTTGATACTGATTTGGAGAGGTTCATTTTTCTCCAGAGAACATTAATCAGACACAAGACAGAACAAAAAAAGAAAAAACCCCAGCACTAAAGTAGTCATGTTGGAGCCTGGGCATTTGTTACTGTCTGAAAGAAAATACATAATGTGGTTTTAGTCTTTATCTCCTGGAGACCAGGTGAGCCCTGAAGGCTTTCTTCATTGTAAAAAACAATTGAAATGACATGAGATGAAATCAGACTGTGAAGTCAGATGCAGTAAACAAGGCTTTAAACTATGTGAACATATATTCCTCAGAAGAGCTTATTGTTGAAGTAGAGAAGAAAAAAACGCTCTGGAAACAGACACACAAATAAGTAATTGTAACACCATTTGTGAACACAAGGGGGCGTTGCTCATTTAGGGAAAGCTGACAACCACCAAGGACCCCATCTTGCACTCAGGAGGAATCCACAGCTTCTAGGTCAGTTTTTTTTAACTGTCCTGAGCTGAGTGCTATTAGAAACTTAACGGCAGCTCAAGTAAGATCAGAACAATGTTTTGGTATTAAAAAAAGTTTATATTTGACTAAAATCTCTTTTCTGATGATTGAATGTTATCCATGGTTGTGCCTTTTTTTTTTTTTTTGTTTCCAACTAGAAAGCCAGTGACAGTGTGTTTTTTCGTGGCTCTGGATAGTTCTGTGTTTTTTTTTTTAGCACACAGGGCTAAAGATCCCAAACTGAAACAATCTGAGTGACTCCTGAATGACCTCGCTTGTGAATCCAAAAATGAGCCGTGGGGTGGTCATCATGATATTTAAAAGGGATAAAAAAAGAATCAGCAGGATTCTCTCATCACTTTGAACGAGGACTCATTAAAGAAAAATCATTAACACTGTATAACTGTACGTTCATCACACTGTGCATACCTCCATTTTCAGACTTCTGTGAGATATCTGGAATCTTCCAGAGGATTCTTTGATGCTCTGCATTCCTGTCAGGATCACAAGAGGACGAGAAAACATGTTGATGAAGCTTCTGAAGAGAAAAGGTGACGGCATGAATTTAAAAACCATGAAAGGTACAAATATGTGGGTACTGTACATAAGTTTGAGGTTTCTCAGTTTCTACAAAACCTTCTAAGTCTTGATAAATCATATTTCCCATCAATAAATAATATCAATGCCTCCACATCTGCTCCATGAACATGTGGTACAACAAGACTTTCGGGTTTGAGTGGGGCATGAAAAAGGAATGTTAAGATGATGTTTTGTATATCAGCAGATCTCAAACTGGTTCCTCTCTTTTTTTTATAATTATTTTTATTACTTTCATGCTTTCCATCAGTCATGCTGACACGTTTTTATCAACCAAAATAATACCATAACATTTTTACACGTTTTATTTGTTGTGTTTTGTCTGATATAGATATATATATAGATATAAAAAAAGGTAAATATCTCATGTGATCCTGATTTCACTCTTGAAAAGTGTAAACTAAGTCAAACTGGATCCTCTATTAAGAGCAGTTTTTGAAGATCAGTCATTAAGTTATCAACAATTTTAGGCTTCCCGTTTTAATTGTTTTATAGTCTTTAGTTTGTATTGTACTGTATTTTTTAATTTACTGATTGATTGTTGAGTTTGTGTTTTCTCATTCTGTCGTGCATTTGTTGTTGATGATGTATTTGTAAAAAACAATCCAAGGATGGCTGTTAAAATTTAGCTTTGACTATAAATGTTTTGATGTTTGGCTTCCGTTTACACGCTGCACACTCGTCTCTTTCTAAACTAAAAAAACTAAAAATAGAAATAAATGTTAAATACACACACATATGTAAATTATTACAGCCAGGGTCCGAAATTAACACCCGCCAAGCGCCAATTGTGGGAAGATTTTCCGTTTGGCCAGTATATTTCACTACTGCCTACAAATAATACATTTAAAAAAAGAATAAAGGCCAGCAAATATATATTTTTTTAATTTCTCAATTTCCTGATCTTATGAAATGATCGAATCTGTCGATTTATGATTAAACAGAACATAATGCCTCCTTAATTAAATGTACTGTAACAGATGTGTATGGGACACAGAAACACTATTTGTTATTTTGACGGTAAAAAATATGTTTGGCCGGTGAATTTTTTCATCTACCTGCCACCTTGGCCACTGAGTCAAAAAGTTAATTTTGGACCCTGATTACCGTATAAACAGTATAAACGGCCTGGTGTGTGAAATGGCACTAACAACACAGTTCAGACCGTACCACGCAGCTGGAGGTAAGACTGCCTGTAGTTTTGAAACCCCTCCATCGACAGGGACCAGGAACTGGACGTTGTTGAGTGCCATCGGTGTCGTCATCGCCTCTCCGTTGTATTTGTAGTCTATCCTCAGGTCGGTGCTGGTGGGCTCGCATCTCCAGCTCACGGCGAGATTCAGTGGAATCGACTGGAGCCCCTCTGCTGAAACCTGAACACAGAGGGAAAATACATATGCACACTTAGCTTACTATGATACTTTTGAATTTTGTACCATGTCTATGAATGACAAAACAACATCATAACGTTTGTCTGAGAAATCAAGCTCACCTGATATTTGAGCATGTCCACGTTGTAGTATGTCGCCTGTGGCTTCTGCTCTGCCACCTTCTTTAGATGTGATATCAGGTTTGGCATGTTCACCCAGAAGTCTTTAGAGTCAGCCTTGGCTGTCGTGGTGGTGTCGCTGGAGGAGGGAAAGCATGCAGAAAAAGTACGATCAGTAACAGCCTTTAAAATATTACTGGGTAAATATACAAGGGATTATTTTGTCTGTATTTGAGTGTGAGACTGCAGCTCCTGTCTCAGATTTAAAGCTGTTTGAACATGAAAACAAACTTATTTTTGCAGTTATTACTTCTCAACATTAAATTGCATGAGCTTAATTCAGACTTTTATCAGCATTTTCAATACAACAATTAACCACAAGAGGTCTCCCTAACATAGATCCTAATGTCTGTGTTGAGGGAAAAAACACTCTACCAAAAACTTCTTAAGGTAATTATCCTCCACTATATTTAATGTTTATTCAATTTATGTTTATTTCACTGAATCAAAACGAATAATGATTCTGCTTTGATTTTTTGTGCCATTAAGATTAAGACTTTTGGTCAAATGATTAAGTAGAAGAATAAGTTCTCATTGGTTACAAGTATATTTTTGTTAAACAAATTAAAACTTGATCCATGGATGACACGTGTAGAAAGCTTACGGCTGTTAAAAGAGGGTTTGATGAAAATCTCTGATGACCTCATGATGACTTAATAAGCATGTCTGAGATGATGTCACTAAAGTTTACTCATCGTCACTGGTCAACCCCTCAAAAAAAACAAACCCCTCTGTATGGCTCATCAGTTTGATGAGTTAGTTTTCAGATAGTTCTATCTTTATAGAAGTTACACACACGTCCCCTCTTATTTAACATGCTCATTTTCTGTGTTTTGTATATCTAGCTGAAGTATTTTACTTCTTTATTTCTACTTCAGCAAGTTTGTCCTGACGCTATAAAAAGGCAATTTAAATGTGAGAAGTAGGATTTGTTGTGTGGAAACAAATATGATCATGATGAGGAAATACACAAGGATTCTAATGTGAATAAACATAATGAAAAGGAAACAAACACTTAATTAAGACTGTATTAATGACTCCACTCTATTTTGATTACAAGAGACTCTTAAGACTAATAAATCACGTGCTTTGTGAAAGAAATGAATATTACTAATGGAGGGAAAGTAAGTACATTTGATTTGGTTTTAATGAAGTTATTTTAAATCAGGAGGATTCTTTTCAAGCAGCACAATAAAGAAGACTTGTTCAACACACGGGAGGAGGAAGTAGTTATCTTGGGATTATTTATCTTCCCTTCCTCCAGTGAAAACTGTGCATTGATTGATTATTTAAAATGTTTGTGAGTTTGAGGTGGTGACTTCACAGAGGGTGTCATTACCAGCAGAGGAGCTGGGGGTTAGGCAGCACATGCTCCAGTCGGCTGTAGTTGGTTATGCTGAAGGTTAGCGTGGCAGGGGACGGGTTATTGGCAAAGTGCCGCGTGATTCCCGCTGGAAACGATAAAACCATCTCACCTATGATCTTCACCACACACCTGAGAGGAAGAGGAAGAGGAAGACACAGAGAGGGTTAGAGAGAGACACAGAGACAGACATTCTTCATCACAGTTTGTGCCCATGAGCCTTTATGCATTCAATTATTTGTTAAGCTAGATTCATAAAAAGTAATTTTCAAAATAAAAGCACAATTACAGCAAAGAATCCTCTCTCTTTCTCTCCTCAACCTGCCTCATATCTGAGAACATTCAACAGCTGAGCCTGCTTAATGAGGCTGATATGAAGCTGCTCTGTGGATTACTGTCACAAGTATTGCTTAATAAACTAAATGAATTTATGTTTAAATTCAGTCAGACACAAGAACACATGAAAATTTAGAAACATGTCTGGAAATCTTACTGTATGGATAAGTGTAGTGGCTAAAACAAATCTAAATAAACTAATATCAAACATAATCAAATGCCCACTGATGCACCATGGGGGATGTGATGTACGCAGGCAAAAGAAGTCCAGTGTCCATGCACGAGATCTGCCGTTTTTTGGTGGTTTATTTAAAGAAAGCAAACAAAAGAACAAAGAAAATCGTGTCTCCAGCTGCCTCTCTTGCGCTGGTAAAAAAAAAACATCGGCCCACCCAGGTGCATGCTGGTCCTCTACCTGCCTCTTACTTAAATAACCTCTGGTGCCCACAGTGTTACCCAAATACCTAACAAAAAAAATACTCATGCAAAACTAAATTTACTAAACAAATAACTAGCAAAAGAAAATATTACCTAAAATCTATTCTAAATAAAGAAACCGTGTAGAATAATTAAATAAAGAACACCACAAGTATTAGTGAACTAAATACCAAAACTTATTCTAACAACAATTAAATAGCTCCAACAGTAAGTGTAGGTGTGTGAAGCTACTTGTTATGAGGGCTGCAGCTAGGAGTGTTTTCATTTCATTATCAAATAACTGAAGTTATACGATCATTTCCCCATCAACAAAAGTGCTTCTTCCAGAAGCTTCTAGTGATGAAAATTTGGACCCAGGACAAACAGTTAACGACATAGTAAGGCTGAAAAAATGTGGTTATCCTCTAATTTTTACAAAAAACTGATGTACATGATATAAAAACAGCTGCAGGTTATGTTTGTGTTGACAGAGTAAAAGACTGATCAATGTGGTGTTTCCATGTTTTTCTTGAGCTTACTTGCTGGGGTCCGCTCCTTTAAAGAAGGCGTTGACCGTCTCTGTGAACGCAGCGGCTACGGGGAGAGTGTCCTGAGCCCCCATGGTGAGAGGACTGGGCCCTCTGGAGCAGCCTGGAGGGGGTCAGACATACATACACACACAAACACACATTAAAAGAGCCGGAATATTGTATGACACACAGTCATCAAAGTCCATGACTTAACAGAGATCAATTCTGACTTTTAACTTTCCTCTCTGCTTGTTAAAGGTTAAAGTAGCTTCAGTCCATTAAAGGCTTCATATGTGATTTTTCACACTTAAATATAATATAAATCAAGTTATCCTCTGAAAATAACTCTGTGAGTCATGACTGTCTACAATGGGTGTAACACCCGAGTCCCACTGTCTGTGATGTTTTCAGAGTTTTCAGAGTCCTATCTTCAGTTTGTTTACATCGCCCGGACGGCCGGCTGACTCCTCCCCTCGTGTATAAAAGTTGTTTAATTGAGGGACTAGAGAAAAGAAGAATAACATACTGTACTCACTGCTTAACTGTGTTTCTAGATCACGCTCATTTCAGGTAAATTTACATGCAGTGTGAAGATACCAGCATAATAAAGATCGCTAGCATTAGCATGCTAACACAACATGTTTTGGTTTCATGCTGGTGCTCAAGGGCGACATCTGCTGGATCAAAAAAATCACATATAAAGCCTTTAATAAAACGCACAACAGTCGAAAGATTAAGAATAAGTACTTCCTCAAACTCCCAAACCAGGACACTACACTCTTCCTAAACAAAAGGTGTGTGGATGGAATGAGGAAAAAAAACACATGGTGCGCAAGCAAACTATTGTAAAGAACAGAAACCTTACAACAGTTTGAAATGAGAACAGATGTTTGTGTTAGTAAGGCGGCATGAACACAGCACGTTACATGTGTGTAGAGGAAACCCATTTCTCTCTGCTCTTGACTGTGAAAACTCAAAATCAGTTCTTCAGGAATCTCCTTCAAAAGGAACACATTTCTATCTAGCATGCTACACACTGACAATTTATGTTTCATTGAGTATGCACTGAGTTAGAAAAGAAAGGAAAGAGGCAGACAAAGAGAGAGAGAGACAGATGTGCATGCTTGTTGCTGCTGAAGCTGAATCATTCTGACAAGATCAAAGATCGGACAGCTCAAAAGATCAGAACCAAGACCCAAACGGGCAAAAGTGACGGCAGAGAGATTAGCAAAGTACACGAAGAATGATGATTCTTCAGGGAGTGAATGAAAAGGCAGTCAGTCAGCGCCTTAAGAGATGAGAATGAACAATGTCAGGAGGATGACAAAACTGCTTAGCTGATAGCACTGAAAGGGGGTGGAGCCAGGAGTTAGCATGGCGTAGGGGGTAGGAATGATGAAGGAGTGCTATGGAGTAAGAGAAGGAAAGAAGGAAGGAAGGAAGGAAGGAAAGAAGGGGCAGGGGCAAGGGTGGGGGGGCAAAGCTTGCACATTTAGGCCTCAAGAAGAGTGTGTGTGTGTGCGTGACGCTACCCTGGTGCAGAGCAAACTTACCTTCAAAGGTTAAATAAAACTTCCCTCTGTCAAACCATACAAGGGATGGCTGGTCATTCTCTGTGTGGGGTCGAGGGATTGAGGAGGAAGGGGAGGGGGGGTCAGGAGGAGAGAGGACGAGGAGGTTTGAGAGAGAGGGCAGTGGGGTGAGGAGGGGTGAGAGGGGGAGGAGGGGGAGAGAAGGACAGTAGCGTGAGTCTCACATGGCAGGTCTATCACTTCACAGTGAGGTGAAACATGGAGGTGGAGGTCGGGGGGGGACCAATGGGGGACATGAAAAACCACGGCAAGCCGAGACAGAACAACAACGAGGGTGTGGAGAGGATGTGTCTTTGTTTTTTTTGAGGGTGCTTGCGTGCGTGAGGAATTGGCAGGGGGGTGAGGTGGAGCGAGGGGACAGATGTTTGCTTCTGGATGTTGGCGGTGATTCAACTCGATGTGCGAGATGTGTTTTACAGAACAGCGAGGTGAGGCTGTAGGGTCTGAGGACGCACTATCAGGAGAGCAGTCATGTCACTGGGTTTATCTTTTTATGTGCTTGTATTCTCCTAGAGGCCCTCTCTTCTTATAATGAAACAGATGGTCACAGCCTGTCATACATAACAACAACACCCTGCAGGGTGCAGCCATGGGACTGAGACCAGAGAGCAGGGAGATGGAGGGACTGGGGTGCACAGAAAGATGCTCTATGTCTCATTTTCTGATCCTCTAAACAACACAGACTTGAAGGGAGCACATGAAGACACCACCACACCAAAAACTGAGCGTTCTGACAGTTTCCAGTAAACTTCAGCACAAGTTGATAAAATAATGCACAATTACTTTGTATGTCCTGACCTTACCAGTCAAAGATTTCTAAAGTACTGTGAGCAGTGCTTTTAGGTAAATCAGAGGGTCAGGGTGCCCTAAAGGGGGGAGAGTTACGTTCAAGAGTTTCTTACTTGACTTTTTTCATCTAAACACAAATCTGGTTTCTACGACGGAGGATTAGGGCCATGTTAAAAAAAAAAAAAATAATTATTTCAAGATTAAACTCGTAAATTTAAGAGAATAATCTCGTAAATTAAGAGTTCGAGACCAGCCTGCGGAAAATGATGAAAGTAGAACTCTTAAAGTATTTTCCTCTGCAGAGAACTTCCTCCAAGTCAGTGTGGCTCTTTCTTCAGTTTCTTGCAGTATCTTTTCAGGGTGCTGATATTTTAAGACAATGTGAAGATGATGATGTGCCAAAAGCATGTGTAGTTTCATATCTGTGTAAGCAACACAACTATTTTTATCTGTTATCGGTCTGCCTTGTTGAAATGTCTCATGTGCAGAGCCAGTTTGTGTCCTGTTCATCATTTTACAGATAAACAAAGTCTTACAAGTTGAAGTGAAAACTTCTCTTGAACTAACTGTTTTTACCGACTACACAAGGAAGTAGCCTATTTCCTTATTAGTGAAACCTTTAGGACAAGATGCTCCATGTTTGTCATTTGAGAACAGGATGCTGCTGCTCTTCTGATATAGACTAAAATAACGACTTTATTCTTTTATTCTTTGAAGACTTTAAGACTTCTGCTTTCATCATCTTCGTGCAGGCTGGCCTCAAACTCGTTAATTTACGACTGTATTCTCGTAAATTTCCAGGTTTTTTTTTTTTTTTAAGTGGCCTTAATCCTCCGTCGTAGGTTTCAAGGATTTGAATTCTATTTTTTTTTCTTTCTAAAAAGTAAGATGACAGATTTAGCATCATTGAAAACAAAAAAACATTTGGGGAAGGTAAAGCTTGCTCTGAGTTTTCAGGCGGAAAAGGTCTGCTTGTAAAACTGAAAAAGCTCAGCTTGTCTCAGGACATTACAGGCTGCTATTCTAACTACTGTACGCCCTCAAACGTCCTGGACTTCAGAGGATCCAGCCCCCTGAACTAGGGTGCATCAGAAGTTTGTCTAGAAAGAGTAACAGTGACTGTGTTTACATACGGCACTGTCCTCTAAATTGCGCGTATTTCATGTGACAAAATGCAGATTAATGCATCTGTGGTTCAGGTTTTTGTCACAGAAAGTCTTCTGGCAGAACAAGGGTTAACTTGTTCTACTCATCAGGTTTGTTTTGATGGGAGGTCCCAGCAGTGACAAAGTGTTGGTGCGTTGCTGTGGACCTGACGGAGCATTGGGTGATGGAATGATAAGAGCAGCTCAGGGCTTCATAAAGAGAACAAAAGGGGCAGGTGTTCACTTGGGGGGGAGGGGGCGGGGTTTAGAGGTGTATTTGAGTGAGAGAGTGTGTGAGTGACAGGTGTGAAAGGTGGGCGTCAAGGGGGTTGAGTGTGGGAGTAGACCGAGGCTGGGTTGAACTTGAGGTTGTCTTGCGGACACTCGAGCGGTACAGAGCAGAGAGCATGAATACCAAACAGCTGCTGCCTGTCTAATTCAACTTCACTCTCATGCCAGACTTCAAACGACTCTGTAAGCAGCATCTCTAATCTGACAATATGTATGTATGTATGTGTGTGTGTGTGTGTGTGTGTGTGTGTGTGTGTGTGTGTGTGTGTGTGTGTGTGTGTGTGTGTGAGTGTGTGTGTGAGAGAGAGCGAAAAAGACGGACAATATGGATGTCAAGGGCCAACAGATGAGGAGCTCTTCAGGCGAACACACTGCACGTGAACACACTCTTGTGGTGCAGACTGAGAGCAAAGGTATGTGGGAGAGGCTGCACTGCACTCTGCACACGCACACACATGTATTATGTGTGTCACCAAGAGTAGAAACAAGGAGGTGGCCATGGTGACATGGCTGGAAAGCCACTGGTACACAGTCATAAAACAGAGAGAAAAGGTCCCACAAGCGAGGGTAATGGGCAAAATGGCAAATGACAGTCAAACGTTTGTTGTTGTATCTAATATGAAAAACGATGCAGCTTTTTTTGAATGACCACAGCTTTCGTTCCTTTTTTTGGCAGATTTTTCTGTGTTTGGCGAGGGAACGAGAGAGTGACATGTGCAGATGGGGTAGAGAGAGATAGATAAAGAGAGAGGGAGAGGCTATAATATCTATTAAATGGCTGGGAAATGTGTGGGCAGGTATGAGTTGGCAAGAGCGAAATGATGACGAAAAAAAAATGACGATTTCACTGAAAAATGCTGCCACGTTTCAAAAGAAAAAGAAATGATCCTGTGGTATTTTCCCTACATCTGTGAGCGAAACCTGAAGTTACCTAATCATAAGTAGGTATTGGGAAAATGTCTCCTCAAAAAACAAATCTCAAATCAAAGATGGAAGCCTAAAAAAAGAGAAAAAAGAAACGAGTGTCTCACTGTCCCAATACCTCCATTTTTGACTGATAACATTTGAGGAAGCACACAAACACTCAGCGATGGCCTTTACCCTTCTACGCCAAGTGCATTCTGGGTAAAGAGCATCAAACAGATGGGAAACCATCACAAGAACATTCCCGACAAACTCTTTTCCTCTCTCTCTCTCTAAGGGGATCGTTACTCTACCTGCAAATGAATCAAAGTGTCTCCCAAAGGTGGGCAGTTTGTCTACATAAGCATCGTCTTCTGACAAAGGCAAAGAAACAAAAAAAGAAGACACAAACAAAACAGTAAAACAAAAAAAAACAAGAAAGCAAATCAAACAAAGGGAATTGAAATGATGAAAACACAGTCATGCACTCAAAAGCTTAACTGAAAAAAACGTCAACAGAATCAAAGTGGTAAATTAACAGGAAGTAGAAAAGGTAGTTTCCAACCCACTATTACTGTCTGGTCCATGTGCTAATGGATTCCTAACTACCGATACTACAGAGACCTCAGTAAAATAATTATATTATTTATGGAAGAATCTGAATCTAGGGAGGATCTTTCCTTTGCCATATGTTTAAACAACTCTGACATTCTGTTTTTATGTAACTATTTCTGCCTCCAGAGTGCGCTTTAAAAGATAATCTCCTATGACTCAGCCATGTTTTCAGTCTACTGAGATTTGTTGTGATCCACTCACAGCTGTGCACTGCAATGGGTTTTTTTCTGCACTGACTCTAAAGTTAGAATAAGGAGTGTAAACTGTAGAGCCATTAATGTATTAAAAGGATGGCTTGATGGCTTGTAGAGAATGTTTGCTCTTCAAAACTCAAATTAACAACCCTGCCTCACATTCTCACTTCCCACTCACTACACGGTTATGTGTCTGAGGGTGTAAATTATGAGTGTTTCTGTCTGCGCCTGCCTGAACCAGACAATATTTTTCTGATATGTTTGCTGTTTCAAAACGACCCTTAGGAGCCGTTTTCTCCCATTTCAAGTGAAATGATATCAAGGAACTAATTACTGCAGCAACACTTGCTCCAATCGGTCTCGAGATAGTAGGAAGCTAACATGCAAGCGTTTAATGATGCATGATTTGACACTGAATTACTCATATTCATCATTTAGTGAACCATCAGGGCCAGGATACCTTCACAGAGGAAACAAACAAACAAAAAGGACAATTAAAAATAAATAATAAACAAATACAAAACTGAATGACACAGACTGTGAGTAAAAAGAAGGAGAGGGCCGGTGCATAAAATCAACAATAAACTTTTAATTTGACACATAAATAGTTAAATTCCTCGATCGTCCCAACCCTTTTGTGGCTGCACAGCTCAGTGACTGTTGAGGGAGCACACACCTGACACAGACACGGAGAGCTCTTTGCCCACAGTCGGGGTGGTGGCGGCACTCATGGAATTTGTGGAGGAGATGGAGGAGGTGCTCTCGGCTCGCGCCAACGGAGCGATGGGAGGGGGGCTGGCAGAGTGAACTGGAGGACTGAATGGACGATTCTTGAGAAGATAGAAAGACAGTAGAGGGAAGACACATTAAATATCTTGTCTTGATTCAATCCGACCAGCCGAGGCAAATGCAGGGGAGCAGTGACCGAACCCCCCCAGGTATGATTTAATCAGAGGTTGATGCAGCTGTGACACAGTTTGATGTTAACACCACCATCATAATAAAGAAGTGAACATTTCTTATGATACAACACTTACTGCATCTCCTACAGTGGGTTTCCCTGGAGGCAGTTTGGGCCGTGAAGGTGGGCGAGGTGGAGGAGGTGGTGGGGTTTGGTTTACAGAAGAGGGAGTGGAAGGTCTGACAGGAGAAGATGAACCTGTGTGGAAGAAACATGCAGTATTACTTCTTCTGTTCAATCTTTGATGGTCTAGATTGTGGAAAAAGGCTACAGCACTTCTAAATCAGAAAAACAGCACTGGAGAGAATACACAGCAGACTGTATATTATCAGCAGTGCAATACAAAATTGTGTCATCAGCATAAAGATTCATTTTAATTTTAAACAGAACAGGACCTAGGACAGAACCTTGTGGAACACCATTTGAAATTTAAAACACATAAAAGTAGATGCAGGGTGAACAGAACCACTGTGGAGACAATGGCGAGCAATTGTTACTGAAGAACACTTAAGTGACTTCTGAGGAAAGACATGATGTAAAAAAAGGACGATGTGGAAGTGGCGGACTAAGCAACAGGGCGCTATATGACGCTATAATGACAACATTTGCCTTCATATCAATGCTACGGGTAGTTCGAAGGAACAAAATAAGAACAAAAGTGTTTCTGTCTGCGCCTGCCTGAACCAGACAATATTTATGAAATGTTTGCTGTATCAAAACGACCCGTAGGAGCAGTTTTCTCTGATTTCAAATGAAATTATAACAAGGTACTAATTACTGCAGCAACACTTGGAAGCTAACATGCAAGCATTTAATGATGCATGTTTTGACACTGAATTACTCATATTCATCATTTAGTGATTCATTACGCGCACAGAGATCATAGTGATCTCTTGCAGACAGTCTATGCACTGTACATTGATCACATGATATAAACATCCATCAGACTTCCTGGACATCATTTATTGGATAATATCCTATGAAGAAAAAAATACTAGGGCGCTGGCAGGAGAAACTCCGAGCTGAAAAATGTGTCTGTTTGCATTCACACACACAGCTCTTAATAAAAATGAGGCGTTTTCTGCAAATGTGACAGTGCTAATAGATGTTGTTGCTAATACTACTGGTGACTACTACACAGGTATAGTTCCATTCTTGTAAGTGTGATAATCAATAACCATCCACTGAATGGGGTTGTTGTTTTCTGGACCTGATTCAGAAAGTGACTTCCAACAGTCCATGCTTTTTTAAGAGCCCGTGTCCACCTAGTGTTTTTTTTCTGAGCGCCAGCGCGGTGTCTTTGTTTCAAGCGCTGCGCTGTGTTGAAAATCTTTCAACTTTTTAGAAAAGCACTGTTGACATCATTGGCACTCTAGGTGGACACAGGGCCTAACACAGCCTTTTTTTAAACCAAGTTCCAGTGACTACTCTCTACTGACCACTTTTTGTGCCCCCAGCTCCAGCTGTGGGACCGGGTGACGATACTACCGCCCGGTATGTTGGGGGAGGAGGTGGTGGAGGTGTACACCGGCTACCCTGGTTAGCATCGACAGGTGAGGTGAGACTTTCACCTCCGTCCTCTTTGGATTTGGTGTCGTCTGTGTTCTTGGCCTGCTCCTCCTGAGGCTGGGCAAGCGGTGTCGGGAGGGGGCGTGTCGCAGGTTCCTCGGCGGGAGGAGTCACTGCTGGAGGAGTCACTGCTGGAGGCGTCACTGCTGGAGGCGTTCTTGCTTTGGGAGCCGGGGCTGGTGGGACGCTGGAAGGGGACTCAAGAGAAGGGGGAGAGGAGGCGGGAGGGGAGGCGAGATCCTTTGGTGGTGCAGGGGGTGGAGAAGTGGCAAATATGGGTGGATTTTTGTCCTCAGGTGTAGGAGGACCTGAGCGGGTGGGAGGTGCAACAGGCTCCTCTCTTGGAGGTGGGGAGATTGGTAGCGGGGGAAGTGGTTCTTCTTTTGGAGGAGGGGAGGTAGGAAGAGGTGGTGCGGGGTCATCTGGAGGAGATGGTGACGTAGGTAAAGGCGGGGCAGGAGATTCAGGTGGAGGCGGGGAGGCTGGCAGCGGCGGCGCTGGTTCCTCTGGTAGAGGTGGCTGAGCGGCAGATTCTTCACTGAAGCAGACCCATGACTCGGCCGTGTCTTCACCAGCAGAGGGCGCCTGTTCAGGCCCAAAGATGTTGTCTAGGTCAGCTATCGAAGGCTTCCTGGCAGAACTCTCTGCTTCTGTTGACACTTCTGTAACACACACACACAACAGACCAATCAGAGGCTGTGTTTGCATTGAAGCGGAACAATATTTACAGAGAGAGACAAAAACATAACAGAGAAAGTTAGATCCAGAATTCAATGATAAAAATATGAAGCTGCAAAGATCAAATATAAAAGTGATAATGTGACAGAACGGGGGGGAGGGGGGGGAGAAAAGATTAGAATACGTCTTACCAGCATCATCTGGAGAGGTTGGGCTGGTGGACGGTGGGGATGTAGGGACATTCTTAGGTGGAAGAGGAGGTGGAGCTGCAATAAAATAACAAAATGAATGGTGCAATAATAATTGATTAGGCAGTGTTAGTTTAAATGTATTGTTAACGTATGCTGTTGAGAATGTATGGTGGGCAGCAAACAACGAGGGGAAAACATGATGAGCCTACAAGAAACAATAATTTGCAACAAAAGACAAAAAGATGATGGTAGTTATCCAACCGGTCAATCACAAACACATCGATGTGAGGAGAGGCGATCATCCCACAAATCATCATTTATGCAGCACCGAGACACCACCATGCCGAATGTAGGGAGAAAGCAGCAAAGGGAGCAGGGGATGGTGCAGTATGGGAAGGCTCATACTGAACGCTCCCATAAGATTCACCACAACCAACACTAAATCATTAGGATGTGAGAGGGCTGATGAGACATGAAACAGGTTACAGTCTGCTGCTTTAAGCATTCTTTGATCGAGTCAGTTTGCAGGTCTGATTTGTTAGTTGGATGATGGGGGGGGTTCATGAGGAGGGTTCATGAGGTGGGGCTGTGCAGTCATTCGAGGGAGGAGGAGAGGAAATGCAGCACAAATGGCAGGGAATTCCGAAAACTTACTTCCTGTGGGGAAGGATCTTGACAAAGAGGATTCTGGCTCTGACAGAGAAGCCCCCCACGCATCCGACTCAGACACAACCACTACGTTCAGGAGGGGACAAAACAAGCCTAGTCAGGGGCATTAAAACCAAAAACACGGAAGGATTACCGATTCTTTGGGGGCTCAAAAAAAGGCAACAGGTGAAAGAGGGAGAAACAACACAGGTGCCTATGTCAATAAAATCGTTCATTAGAGAAAACTGTGGCAGACCGCGGAGGGTTTTTAAACTGCCAACAAAATCTGAGTTCAGCTTTAACGACAACATGCAGCAGAAAATGCAGACATTTGAAGCAGTGCCTACAACCCTGATTTGTGGTAAAGATAAAGAGAAACTTTATTGATCCCCCATGGGGGACTTTTTTTTGTCACAAAAGCTCCAGAAACAGGAATATAATTATCAAAAATGACAAGAAGTTAAAAATCAAACTGGTAGAGCTGAATCTATTAATAAATATGTTGTCATATATTTTATTTATCCACATCTATTTTGACTATCAAACGTTTTGTATGAGTAAAACAAAGAATGAATAAACTAAATAGAAACTGAGGTCCAAAAGCTGATCATCTACAAATCTGCTCGGCTCCATCGGTGAACATTTTTTAAATATCATTTAAAGTTTTTATGCTGTTGCAATGCAATATCTTGTCTCATTTGTTAATCTTTTGGTACATTTAGCAACAAAAGTATGATACAAAACGTCCTGTAAAATTACATCAAAAGGTTGTATGTGTCAGTTTGGATGTTATCAAAACAAGTTTGATTGTTCTTTATCCAATCACTTTCATAAAAGACAGATAGTAGTTAAAAATATCACCACTCATTACGATTCAATTCAAAAGCTACGTCCTCCATAAAGTAGAACCAATATCTGGAAAATGTTTCTCTTGCTCCTCAGGAATTTGCAACTAAGAGTAGAACTGCATGAACCATGATGACAACCTTAATCCACACCGCTGGTCCCTGTCATGTGGAGATGAAGTAAAAATGTGTCTGCGTCAAAATCAGCTCTGACTTGTTTGTCTGAATGAATGAATCTATAAAAGGAGGATTTGTGTCAAGTTGACGTTAGTTATGCCCGACGTGGCAACTGCATAACTGCTATGAGCTCCTCCACAGCCTGGAGCGGTAAATCCTGCTGGAATGAACGAGAGCGGCTGACGGAAGAATCTGCGTATTAACAAGCCGCGCTGTGTACATGAACACAACCTCCCAGTGTCAATCTCAACTTTGACCTTCTGCAAAGACAAAAAGAGAGACTCCATCACTGCTGAGCCTGAGGGAGGAGCAAATGATGTCAGAGGAAAAAGGTGAGAGGGAGGGGGCGAGAGAAGAGAGAGAGGGTATCTGCTTTGACAGCCAAGAAGGTTTGAGATAAAGGTCCTGAAGACAAAGTGTGTTGAGTCACAATGTTTCACTGTGTAGCTCACAGTTTGACTAAATAAATACATAAATAAAACGACAGTGGTTAACACCTGTCAGCACAGATGGATCTAAAAATCAATACAGACCGGCACAAAGAGGCTAAGAGTTCCAAACACACAGAGGGGAGGCTTACCTTCAGTTTTTGGTTCTCCAAAGGATGTGTCCAGAGGAGGCCCAAATAAGGCTGTGGTGTCTTCAGAGACCGGGGGTGTTGGTTGACTTCTGGAACAGACAAAAGGATGATATGAGAGAAGAAGCTGTGTAACAAAGCTACAGATCGTCATTTAAGGAAACCAAACTTGATGGATGGATCGAGATACCAACCCTTTATTGAATCTATGCAGATAGATAGATAGAATCTTTATTATCATTGTATACAAGAAACTTTGTTAGCAGCAATCCTATACAGCAGCGTTTACAAAAACAGTTCACCTATATTAAAATATATTTGTGGTTATATGAAGACAAGTATGTTTGTGAAAAGTGGCCAGAGCAATTGCTGTTCAGTGAATGAATAATAATAATAATAATAATAAATAAATAAATAAATAGACAGTTGTGCAGTGAAAGAGTATACACAGTTGTTATTGTGCGGTGACTGGATGAGTAAATAAACAGTTTTAGTGCAATGAATGAATGAATAAATAAATAGACAGTTAAAGTTAAAAGTTAAAGTGTGGTGACTGAGTAAATAAATAAATAAACAATTATAAATTATACAATTACAAGATGAACTTATGGCAGTTTTATTATTTAGCATACAGTTTTTTAAGTACATTTATTTAAAGGCTTTAAGCTGTTATGTTTGTCAATGTCTGTTTGTCTTATTTTACTTATAATTCTAATTATTATAATTATTATTTGAATCAGGTTTTGGTCTTGTTGATTTGAAATTTTGGGCAAATGAAATCTGCCACAGTCTCTGGTTAAATTTTTTAATTTTTACACCATTTAAGGAGTACATTTTTAGGCATTACTATAATGAATGCATCAGCAGAGCACATAACAAAAGCATTCCCCTCTGTTAGCTAGAACACTGCATCCAACTCAAGGAGTGGAAAATAGAGAACAGGCTCCTTTCAGACACATTTTTGGGAATCTAAAGTATAAACAACACACGCATAATACAATAAGGGTCAAGCAGTGACACACACAATATCACACACACTGTACAATATTTTCTATGGCAGTGGATGGCCGACTCTGAGTCATACCTGGGGGGTTGTGGTGCTGGAGCTGGTGCTGGGGTCGGGGCCACAGTGGGTAAAGTTGGAACGAGACGCCTCGGTCTGGCGATTTCCTCGCCTGGAACCAGAATTAAATCTTGTTAACCTCGTGAGGCTCTTGAATCCAATTCTGTAATTTCCCCTCATTAAAAGTGCACCTGGCCTACTCGGAAACAAAACAGATACTTACTGGATGTGTTCCTTTTTAAACCCTGTAAGATGGAGAAAAAAAAAAAGAAGAAAGAGGAAATATAAAATATTTAAGAGTCACATGAATAATGCTGCAACAATGTTTATTGTTCTACAAAATCAAACACAGACAGCTCCATGTTCTGTTGTTGAAGATGGGCACAACATTTACAGTTAATCCAGCACAGAGAGGTCTAAATAATAAAAGCTCTGTTGTTTGAAGATAAATTAAATGGTTCAGACGACAGAACAACCGAGTTTCAGCTTAACGTTGACTCAATCTGACGGGACCAGAGGAACTAACCGACCATCCACTGGTTACTCAGGGTGAGGTCGTACTGGTACACTATGCGGCAAAGGAATGATTGTAATGATGTTTAAAGATGGCTGAACACAATCCAGGAACACTTGGTGCACAGTCATCTTCCACTAGGCCATCCCAAAAGGAAAATAATTCACTTTGCACTTTAAGCTACATTTCTTATTAGATAAACATTTAACTGTACACTGTGCATTTCAAAGTCCTGGGGATTTGTTTGTTTGCTAGGATCCCCATTAGCTGTACCTGAGAGCTCAGCTGTTGTTCCTCGGGGTCCACGGGGGATAAAAGGTTGGACAGGGCATGATACATTAAAACAACACTGGTCTCTAAGATTTTATGCTTTACTTTGCTTCTTATATTATAGAATATCTTAATCTTCACATCAAACTGCATTATTCCATATTTATCATGTTAAAGTGTTACACTGCTGGTTACAGAACTCAATGTTATTAATTATATGATTTCATAAATCGTCCCTTCAACTTGTCATTTACTGAAGAGCCCGTCTTAAACTGTCCTATATTGTTCACTGTATTCTCATTTTTTAAATTGTATTGTGTTTATCTTTATGTTTTTTTGTATTTGTAGTACTGCAACAACAACACCTGAAGTCCCCCTTTCAGGATCAATAAAGGACGATCTCATCTCATCTTATCTCTTCAACTGATTTATTAAAACCTGCACATTTACTGAAATGAGACACAGACATCTCTGACAACAGTAGCCCCTCAGCAGACACTGTTTATCACTAGAGCAGTGAAACTATCAGCAAAAGGGGAAACAGAAGCCCCACACTCAATAAAAAGAATGCTGTTAGTATCACATAAGAAAATGTCAACCTGGTGAGCTGCTGCTGCTGCTGCTGCCAGCAGAAGGACAAATTGGAAAGCTTTCAAAACATGCTTTTGAAGTCTTAAAGAGACAACCCCCCTGGTACCCGAGACGGTGTGAGGCTGATGAAGTTAGAGTGCGAGAAGAACGTTAAAAGAGAGATGAGTTTTTGATGTTTGAGAAGCAGGAGAATATTTCCTGTGTGAAGCCCTGATTGTGGTGTGTGCGTGAATTCACCATGAGAGGAACACGAGGAGCAGATATGGAGAGAGAAGGAGGGAGGAAGAAGAGGGGGGGGGGGGACAGAAAGCAGATGAGAGGAGAAGACTAGACGATGGGGGGAGTGACTGAAGTAAGACATCAAAGGGTCCGGCTGTCAAAAGTGCAAATTTTCTCCCACTACAGAGACCGAGCATGCTGCTATTCAAGATGGAAAACAAGTATACACGACGCACACTTGTGATCTTTAGAATCTGTAAAAAATAATACAGATGTATACTTAATTATATATTTATTTAAAATGAATGTCAAATCAAATCAGCCAACAGTTTTGACCCATCACCTCAGCCACTGAACCCACCTACCTACTTCCTGTCTAACTCGATAAACTCTGAGGAGCAAAAGAGTAACAAGAGGCATGTGACATTTTTTACGGCTGACCCCAGGGTGACGGAAGAAAAAGGGACACTTACCGGGCTACGTCTCTGTGACCAGCAAAAAGGAAGAGAGAAGAGATACCTGGTCAGAGAGTGACAAATCAGTAAAGCAGACATCATGTGCATCAAGGGGGAGAAGGTTGTTTTGGCCTCGCTGGTTAGATGTGGAGAAGGAAGGATGAAAACATGTCCGTCCTTCTCGAAAAGGGAAAAGGAAGCTTCGGCAGCCCTTTGAGGTTTTAAAGGATCTTCAGCAAAAATGCAAATGGCTTATAATGCAAGTGGGAGAAAGCTGAGGACATACACAGAATGATCATAAATCTGCGTCTTGCATTCATGATGAAGAATATTTAAACAACAATTAAATGCTGAAAAAAAAGGAGAATTTCAGCGTGAATCTGATGTAACAATGAAACAACGCCCCCGTTTGTGTCCTGTGACTCTTATCTTGGAATGTCTCTAACCCGTTCCCTGAGTTTTTAATCATATATAAAGTATTTATTGCCGTCTAAACCTTTTACTTTTCACTTTCACTTCCCCTTCCTGCGTCCCATCTGGCCACACGGTCTCTTTAATTTCTGTCTCCATCTGCCTGCGTCACTTCCACCTCGCATCATCCCTCTCTCTCCCTCTCCCCCTCTCTCTCCCTCTCTCTCTCTCTCTCTCCCTCTCTCTCCCTCTCTCCCCTCTCTCTCCCTCTCTCCCCCTCTCTCTCTCTCTCCCTCTCTCTCCCTCACATTTGTGCTTGTTCCAGTTGTGCAGTGAGCCATGGGTGATTAAAGTGATGTAACAAAAGGGGCGGGACATGTTGGGCGGAAAGGATTCATCTCATTGGGTAAATCGGGGCAGGGCACGGACGACACTCTTGTGTCGGAACCAATGATCTGCCTCCTGCGGTCCGTAAACAGGAAAGACAACAGGAAGAGTTCAGAGTCGCACACTGTGACCTTTCAGCCTCAGTGAGGGATTACCGGCGACCATTTACACACAAACCAGTCGAGTAGAGACACGCTGATGTCAAGAAATATTTAAATCAGTAAAAAGGAAAACACAACAACAACTTGTTTCATATTCCATTTCTGTAACTCCTCTGTCTCTTTTTGTCTCTTGTCGTAGTAATGGAGACAGGTCATATCTAAACAGAGAATCAGTCGGGTTGTAAAGAAACTGACTTTCCCACAGGGGGCTCTTATCACAAATCACAAATCATAGAACACAACCAAAACCCTCAGAAGAGGGATATCTTGCTTCTGTTGTCACGCTGAGAGAGAGAAAAGACGTGTGTGGGATGGGATAAATAGCGTTTTAATTTCATCCCTGACCTTTTTCTCACCGACGCTGCTGCTTGTATAGTCTCGTTATTTGTACCGAGAGCTGGAATCTCAAGACTCCAAAACCAATTAAAATCAGATTTAAGATGTCTTAGTCAGTGGAATCAACGGAAAAAGTCGCAGCTCTTGTGCTTCCAAGTATTTAGGAAAATATGTGCCAATGAAAAAATGCTGAACAGACACACATGCACATAGAACAATCTGCACCACCGTGAAGTCACACAAAACTTTTCTAGGACATTTACCCGAGAAAAGCGCCAAAAATAAAACCTACAGTCATCACACACCAGCTTTATATCAGTTTCATATGTCCAGCAACACAGCAACAAAGAAAACACACATATATAAAGCAAAGCAGTAGGTTTAAAGAGAGGTGGAAGTGTTAACACTCAAGAACACAAAAACAAGGCAGCAAGCAGAACAACAGGCTTACCGGACTCCTCTACAGAGGTTAGCAGCATAACAGACAGCAAGAGAAGAGAGAGAGAAGAAGAAGAAGAGGAGAAGGAACAGACCAGAAGGGAAAGTTAGTAATGGTAATGCAAAGCGCAGCACCTGAGTTCAGTGTAGGCTGTAATTTACATCAACAGCAATCATTAAGACTGTCAACACTGGTGTAGTGAAATGGCTCTTCACTATCCGCCGACACATCATCCACTCCCCGCTCTGACGTGATGTGAAGCATCAATTCATGGAAAAAGGCTTCGTGTGATATAAGCCGTAAACCTGCGACTTGTCACTCTCACGAGCAGGCGCACTCAGGAGTCATTCATCAAGTATGTGAAAAACAGAAGCGGAGAAATTAAGATCAGGCGGTCTGTTTAACACACGACTGTAGGGATTCACAACACCTGCTATGTCTTTCAGGTTTTTTTCACAGCCAGAGTTTGAGCTTGTTAACACACATCTATCTGTGTGGTGTCATGCTGCTGTGATGATGTCATTTCCTGCAAAGGATTAATAAAGTACCTATCTATGTATCTCTCTTTGTTAATGCGACATCATATTCACATGCAGAAAAGCTATTTGAAGTAAACAATATGAAAATATAGTCTCTTATTTATGAGTCTGGGGGATCACATTGATATTCAGATGTCTTTAGGCTGCTGCAATCCTCATGTTTAAGTCTCTGGATAGTTTGACTGGATTAGCTAAAAAAAAAAAAAAAGGAAAACCTATAAAGAAAAGGGAAGTTGCCTTTTTTGCGCCTCTTTCTCTTTTTTATGTAGCCATTTTAATGTCAGTCCATCGCCGCGGTAACCCTGAGTTGCCATGGACTGGGAGTGACTGTGTGACTAATGAAGTGTATGTGTCAGGGAAAGTTTACCCGGGCAAACGTGGCGGTGCTAGTTTGAACTGGTAGAGGTGATTGGTGGCAGTATGGCAGCTAGAGGCCAGTCGTTTGAAACGCTCGAAACAAGTCAACATTTAAGTTGGTGAACTGAAGTCAAGTCAAGTCAAGTCAAGTGAAGTGAAGTGAAGTGAAGTTAAGTTAAGTTAAGTTAAGTCAAGTTAAGTCAAGTTAAGTTAAGTTAAGTCAAGTTAAGTCAAGTTAAGTTAAGTTAAGTTAAGTCAAGTTAAGTTAAGTCAAGTTAAGTCAAGTTAAGTTAAGTTAAGTCAAGTTAAGTGAAGTTAAGTTAAGTTAAGTCAAGTTAAGTCAAGTTAAGTCAAGTTAAGTCAAGTTAAGTTAAGTTAAGTCAAGTCAAGTCAAGTCAAGTCAAGTCAAGTCAAGTTAAGTTAAGTTAAGTTAAGTTAAGTTAAGTTAAGTCACGTTAAGTCAAGTTAAGTTAAGTTAAGTCAAGTTAAGTCAAGTTAAGTTAAGTTAAGTCAAGTTAAGTTAAGTCAAGTTAAGTCAAGTTAAGTTAAGTTAAGTCAAGTTAAGTGAAGTTAAGTTAAGTCAAGTCAAGTTAAGTTAAGTTAAGTCAAGTTAAGTCAAGTTAAGTTAAGTTAAGTTAAGTTAAGTCAAGTTAAGTCAAGTTAAGTTAAGTTAAGTTAAGTTAAGTTAAGTTAAGTCAAGTTAAGTCAAGTTAAGTTAAGTTAAGTTAAGTTAAGTTAAGTTAAGTTAAGTCAAGTTAAGTGAAGTTAAGTGAAGTTAAGTTAAGTTAAGTCAAGTCAAGTTAAGTTAAGTTAAGTTAAGTTAAGTCAAGTTAAGTGAAGTTAAGTGAAGTTAAGTTAAGTCAAGTCAAGTTAAGTTAAGTTAAGTCAAGTCAAGTTAAGTTAAGTTAAGTCAAGTTAAGTCAAGTTAAGTTAAGTTAAGTCAAGTTAAGTTAAGTGCTTTGGAATGAATTTCTGTGCAGGTTGTGGAAACGTATTTCACACAAATTGTACATGCGTTACAAAAAATAAAAAACGGGGTCATAACTGTAATTTAATTCAAAGTCAGGTTTGTCGTTAAATAAACATTTGAACTAATATTCTTATTGAAGATTAACCTCCATGTCCATCACTTTACCAGGCTGATATTTACACAGTATTTATTGTGTCCAACCAACAGGTCAAAACATGAAAATGATTACAGTAGCAGTGACAGAAAGTTTAAAAAAGAAGCAAATAGTCAAAGATAAAAAATAAAAAATAAAAAAAACCTTTGTTTTCTGGTCAATAAATAAGTATGTCAATAATCCAAACTCTTGTCATGATCAATATACGCACACTTATTTACATTAATACTGTAATTGACATCTTAATTGACCCATCTGTCACATAACTGCATTTTACTTATCAGGTTACTTCAGTGTCTTTTGCACTATTCACCACTGCACTGTTTCATATTTAGTCATGTAAATATTAGTCTTTTTTTATGATGTTTATTGTTGATATTTAATGTTGTACCTGTACATAAGAGAGCACAGTTCACCAAAGTTAAATTCCTTGTGTGTGTGTGTGTGTAAGTATACCTGGACAATAAATCTGATTCTTGTTGATTAACTGAAGTGTTCACTGACGAATCACTTCAGCATGTTGTTTGAATAAAAATAAAATAAGATTACCTTCTGGAATGTCTTCTGAGCGTGTGCACAGAGACATTACCTGCATGGAAAGACCTTCCCCACCTGATCAAGTTAACAGAGCCAGCAGGCTGGGTTCAATTATTGAGTCCACAAGCTCAAATGACCACAAGCAATCTCCCCGTACAGCAGACCGACTCAAAGGTTCAATGTGCCCACTTTCCTATCTGAATTATTCAAGATGGACACCCAAGCTAACTGTCCTCCCAGAAGAGCAGAGGGATTGTGGGTAGAGAGGCTCGGGAGGCCAAAGCCTGTTGTGGAGTGTCACTCACTGCTTATTACAGGTTGACCTATAAGGGGGGGGGGGGGACTTGGGCGAGAGCTTCACATCCTGCTGTTTGGGAGGTGCTTTGACACATACCGTGGTGAGACATCTGTTTTGTGTTAAACAAAAACCGGACGAAACGGGAGAGCACTGAGGTCACTGACAGCTGTGGACAAGTATCACAAATTAACTATTTGGAATTCAAACTACGATGAAAAATCAGCTGCCCTCGCTGGCTACAGTCGAGGGGTCAAACCGTAGACGTTACATCCTGCAGCTTGTGTTGCTCTCATATAGAAACATTCAGCAGTGACTCATTAAAAGAGAAAACAAACAGCGTCGTAAAGCAGCAGAATATATTAAAGAGAGTGACAGAAGCACACAAAACACACACATGCACATTTTAAAATCCCTAACTTTAGATGTTAGAAGGGATGAAGAAGATGAAGTTATTAGTGAAAACACATTTTAACAAGTAAACAACAAACACCCAGCTGTGTTTTAATGGACAGCTCACTCACCAGAGGAGACGGGGAAAGGGCTATGTTGCCTATCGAGGCTTTGAGTTCGTCAACCGAGGGCACCGACACGACTTGGTCGGCCGGCAGCGGCTTGATCTTGATTTTGAATTTTTTCCTGTGGTCCTCCTCTCCTTCCGACTCGTCGGAGGAAAAGAAGTGGGCCTTTTTGGTGATGGGCAGTGGTCGGGTGTCAAGGAAAACAAAAAAATCCAGAATTGAACATTTGACTTAACCACTTACCTCACCGAGGTGATGTGATGTGTTAGGACCACCAAACAGAGAAACTTCATCCTACGTTAAACACGCCTTAACACTTTTTTTGACTGCCTTAAAATCTGAACTGGTTCTTTGCGACTTTCCACAACTTCTGTCCTCAACTCAAAATCCTTTTGCCTTCTTCCTGTTGAAAATGAGCCATCGTTGTGATTTTAACCATTAATTGTTAAAAAAAACTGTTAAAAAAGTGGGAAAAAAGAGGAGAATGAGACGCTAAGTGACACCTAAAAACTACCGTTTCATTAATCTAAAGATAGCTATGATTGAATATAAATTTAGGGTTACATTTGGAGCATGCGTTCCTGTGGATTTAAAGTGCATGTTGGATAAAAAAATCTACCAATTGAGGTTTTTTGAAAAGTGATGACTTGAGTTTCATCATCAAAATAAAAAGCACCATTGAAAAGAAACTTGAGGATCCCCACTGCTGAAAATGAGCAGACAGTCTGGATCCATGCTGAACGCAGAAGTAATGTGGCTTTTCTCAAACATTTCTACTTTTTTCTCAGGACTGGGACGTCGATGACTCATTCTCCTGTAGCGGTGTTATGTGCAGCGCCTTATTAACTTTATTTAGATCTTTGCTAATTGGATGTTTTCACACTTCATTGACGCCCTTGATCCACGTTGTATGTCACGCCTGTTTGAGTGGATTTCTATTTGATTATTTGAATTTATATCCACTGATTTGGCAGCCCCGGTATGTTCCCATGTGAATACGATTTACAAGAAAATTCTCTCCTATGAGTATGCACCAGTTTAAATAGTGATGTTAGACAAACAACAAAACAAACAGTGCTGAGGATATCTCCCTCTTCTGACTCCTCCTCTGGTCGGATGCTGTAGCCCTCATCATCCACCTCAGGGGAATTCTGAAACACAGAATGACTCAGTGTTAATCTCTTTGAGTGTTGTCAGCAGGACACAGCAGTTAGTGCTGCAGGTTAATTGAACTACGGTTAAAGTTTACACTGATATAATCAGAGAATTCATTATTCTGAGACTTCCAGTCATAACAAACGCTGAGTCCCCTGCCTAATGAATCATGACCTAATGCTTAATGACATCCATCCAGATCTAATATTCAAGAGAAGTAATGTTGCAAATGAGAAAGAGAAACCCATCATCGTGTTTTACTATCTGGTACTTTGTCCACAAATGTGTCGATAGCAAATTGATTTGACAACAACAGGGATCAATACTATGGCCTCATTGAAATTCAATGAAAACAAAGTTGATTGCACACCGAGCTGAGACACTGATCAAATCCGTGCAAGGTAACACTCCTACTGTATCACTTTTAGAACGTACATATCTCTCCCAGTCGATGTCTTCATAGAATCCATTAGGGGCCCCGTTGGTCTTCTTCTGAGCCTGCAGAGAGACACAGCTTGATTAAACTCCCGTAAGACAGAGACAGTAGGATCTATTCTGCACTAATGATGTGTTTCTAGGTTTGCTACTGTACACTGTTACTATGGCACACCTGATGCTGCAATGGAAAAATCTTGGTTTTTATAGTTTTAAACATTTTTTTTTTTAAATGTACTTCACATTTTGAAAACACTTAATCTAAACTGCTTTGACAGATACACAAGTCTGCATTCAATTTGTCCAAACTGTTCATGTGTTTTTATAAATACCTGTTCATACTGACTCTCTAATTTCAAATAACCTCTGAATAAGTTCTGGGTGTGAGTGTTTCTGAACTTTGTAAGATTTAGATCATTTTAGAGCTTGTAAAGTAAAAGTGAGTTTGTGGGTTAGGGGTATTCACATGAACCCACAAAGTTTATAAGTTTGTCATTTGATCAAAAAGCATTTATTTGCTCTGTTTTGTCACTTTTACAACTTGCTCAGAATATATATACACATGACATTTTCTTTTCTTTTTTTTAAGATTTATTTTTGGGCATTTTGTGCCTTCATTAGAGAGACAGGACAGTGGACATTCAGAAATAAGGGAGAAAGGGAGAAAGAGAGAAGGAAATGACACGCGAGAAAGTAGCCAAAGGTCGGACTCGAACCCGGGCCGCCCGCTTGGAGGACCACAGCCTCCATACATGGGGCGCGCATGCTCTAACCACTGCACCACCAGCACCCCTACATAACTTTTTTTTAAAGATTTATTTGTGAGCTTTTGTATGCCTTCATTAGAGAGACAGGACAGTTAGAAATCTGAGTGAGAGAGAGAGAGAGAGAGAGAGAGAGAGAGAGAGAGAGAGAGAGAGACAAAGAGAGAGAGAGAGAGAGAGAGAGAGACAGAGAGAGAGAGAGAGAGAGAGAGACAGAGAGAGAGAGACAGAGACAGAGAGAGAGTGAGAGAGAGAGAGAGAGAGAGAGAGAGACAGAGACAGAGAGAGAGAGAGAGAGAGAGAGAGAGTGAGAGAGAGAGAGACAGAGACAGAGAGAGAGAGAGAGAGAGACAGAGAGAGAGACAGAGAGAGAGAGAGAGAGACAGAGAGAGAGACAGAGAGAGAGACAGAGAGAGAGAGAGAGAGTGAGAGAGAGAGAGAGAGAGACAGAGACAGAGAGAGAGAGAGAGAGAGAGAGAGAGACAGAGAGAGAGACAGAGAGAGAGACAGAGAGAGAGAGACAGAGAGAGAGAGAGAGAGAGAGACAGAGAGAGAGAGTGAGAGAGAGAGAGAGAGAGAGAGAGGGGGGAACGGCTGCGTGAAGGAGTCACAGGTCGGATTTGAACCTGTCCGCCTGCTTTGAGGACTATAGCCTCTGCACAAAGGATGTGTAAACTAACCACTAGACCACTGACGCCCCCTTTTCTTTGTCTTTTTATTTGATCTGATTTTTATTTTACATTTTTTGAAACTATTGTTATAATCTAACATCATACAAAGTCCAACAGTGGTGATCAATATTTCTTGTTTGGTGTTTCAGTCCTCTTAAAGGACTCATGGGGAAAACGTTTTGCCCGTCTTGTCTCTGAACAGAAGCCTCCTCACTGAGCCTGCTACAGTAATAAAGAGAAAGCTGAAACAGTAACACTAAAGAGTGTGTGGATGTACTCTGATGTCTAAAAGACCAACACTAACTACTCTAGAGGTAAATCTACTGCACAGGGTGAGAGACTACAGTTCAGTACCGATTCAACCTCTTGGGGTTCCTGGCAAGTTGGGAAAAAAAACAAAAAAATAAAATACATAATGTATATATAATATATCCACAGAACCTGATCTCCTCCAGTCACACATGTGTAGAGTGAAGAGCAAGATGCATTTTAAATAATGATTTTACTTACACCCCCGTCTCTGTCTGGGGACCCCCTGTGAGAGTTTAAGAAGAGAGAGACATGAGAGCATGAAAGTCACTTCACATTTAAGATCCTCACTTTGAAAATCAAGTGCTTCGCTAATTAGTCGAGCAAAAATATTTGAAAAGGAGGCATATAAGGAAAACACTCTACCACCACCAAACCCACACACACACTTATTTAATCAGAAATCACACACTCACAGATATCAGCGTCACAGATTGGATAAACAAATGTGAAAATGTAGCACGCTTCAAAAAAATTCACAAGTTGCACTATTCAGCCTCGTTCTGATCCTGAGGTATTTCCTTATTACAACATTTCAGATCATTTTGCCATTTTTGGACAAAAATAGAAACAGCTGTATAAAAACAATACATTTGATATCTTAAATATGCTCAGGATTTTATAGATTCATAATAACAGGATGGAAAAGGACTTATAAATGCACTTGACAATATATCTATTCAACCGTGCTTGGTTAATGGAAATCTAGTGGAGTCTAGTATCCATTTAAAAAAAGACTTGTGCTTAACACTAATCCTGCATTTGTTCTCACTCATTCTAATCCTTTTACTCTGATGCTGTAGAACAATTATTCTTCTTACAATTCATTCCTCCGATTCAGAGGCAGCATCACTGTAAATCGTTTCAGCCGTTGAACACATCATTTAATGTACGTCAGGGGAAGAGAGTCTCAACTTACGTGGAGTCATTGTCCTTCTCTTTCTTCCGTATCCCAAAGGCCTTCCTGGTACGTTTTTTCAATCCTGAGGAGAAAGTGTGGGGGGGGGGACAGGTAAGATATTGTTTGATGAAACACCAAAAGGCATCATGTTTGTGGGTGGGTTAAAGGGTATGTGTGGTCAGCCGTCCCACATCCATCATCTAAGAGATTAAAGGTGGCGTTTTTATGTATTATTGAGTGAGTGGCTGCATCACTGTGAAGGCAAACACCTCTCTCTTCTCAGAGCTCATGGTCACTGCACATGGACGGACAGCCTTGCAATCCTCAGGGCAATATCAAGGAATGGAAAATTCATTAGTACCGACCGTGAAAATCAATGTGCTAAGAACTGAGCAAGAATAGCTTAGACAGCCGTAAAGCACAGAGGAACCTACTGGAGGTCAGACAGCTGATAACGAGAGTTCAATTTATTAAGCTTAACAAAGTATATGAGAGTTCTAATGTTCTGGTTCACCTCGTGCCTGCCTGTTGGAATCCTTAAACTAAAACGTTAAATGAGAAACTCGACTGCCCCTCACTTCCAGTATAAACTTTGCATGGACAGGTTGTATAGCTTTAGTGAGGAGGACACTAGATATATATGGCTGAAGTAACAGAGCTGCTCACAGACCAACAACACAAAAGGTGAATGTCTAAAACAATGCAACTAATGAGAGAGTCTTTTTTTCAGCCTTGAGAATAAAAGTGTACTTTTGATGAATGTCTTTCTCCTGTGAAGATCAATAGTTTGCAAACTGAACCCCAGATGGGTGCAAGAAGCTTGCAAAGTAAAAGAGAAGAAGGAAGAGATCAGAGTTATAATGCAACATTTTGCACTCAGATTTGAATGGAAACAAACTAAAAAAGTATTCTTCAGCTCAGCAGAGATTTGCAGATCTTGTTTTTTTTTTTGTTTTTCCTTGATATTTTCTGTTAACAAGTCATGCTCAAGTTACTGCTGTGCCACCAAGAGAACTGTTACACATCAAATGAAAACCACTGTCTAAACACAATACATTAGGGATTAAACTGGAGAACAACACAATATTACTGTATTTGTCATAATGTTCACTGAATCATATGTTCATCGTTGGGGTAGGAAGAAGATTTTCCTGATTCTTCCATCGCTAACACAAATTAAGTAATTAAGAAGTACTTCATTTTGAAAATATTCCTGCTCTTTTATGCCCAGCACTCAGATCACAAGCGCTCCTGGCTTCTTCTTACCCCAGAGGAAAGCCCAGTTGTCCCCCTCCATTTCTGTTTTTTGATAGTTCCTCGACTCTCATTATTCCTCGTCTTTGTCTACTTGTGAACTCATCACGTCACCTCATAGTCTTCTTTATACCACATGCAGACGCACACTGAGCCTCAGAGCAGGAACCTGATGCTACCTCACACACACACACACACACACACACAGATGAGGTGTCATGACTCTGTTCTGGACGTGCATTGTGATACTTAAATTCACCAACTGTGACTTCCCTCATGAATAAAAAAGAAGTTAAAAGTGAATAAGTTAATAAGACAATCATCATCTACGTATACGCCTGCAGACAACATGAGAAACTAATCCAGAAGGCGTCTGGCTATGAGACAAGTGTCCTCTAGAATCCCTTTCATTGATCCTGCTAATTCATTTGGCCTCCCATCACAGGACAAGTCTACAGTTAAGGGAGAACACATTCTTAAATACAAAGGTTTGACATTTTATTAAGAAACAGAGTCATGAGGTGTTTTTGGACCAAACAGGTCTGGGGACTGTTTTTTGAAGAGGAACTATCCAATAGGTAGTTCCATGAGACCTACACACCAGTAGGGCTGGGAAATATATCAAGTTTTTAAGATATATCGATATATTTTCAAACACGATCTAGGGTAAGACAACATGGTTAATATGGATATAGTTTAAGTTGCATTAAAATAACATTACAGAGGTGCCAGGTCACCTTATTCTCATCTCACTGATGATGACTGACTGTCTGTCACTCTTCACCCTGCTCCTCCTCTCTCTCTCTTTTATTGTATTTAAGGAACATTTTTATTTTATAATATTACTTTTTAAATTCACAAACAGGAAGTTTATTTTTTCATGTGTTTTCACTGTTAATAAAATACATATCCATATATCGAGTATCACCATTCAGCTAATCAATATCAAGATATGAGTTTTGGTCCATATCACCCAGGCCTACACACCAAGGGGACTTTCTGTCTGCATTCACACCGCTGAAGCACCTACTCCGAAGCAGGAGCTAAAAAGGTTCCTCTAAACACGGTTCTAGGTCTTAAAGAGCCCATATTCTGCCCTTTTTGAGGTTCTTATATGTTCCTACTTTTGTACGTTCACAATAGCTAAAGTCTGAAAAAAGTGTCTGTTTTCATGTACTGCTCCTCCTTGCTCCCTCTACGCTCTGAGTCCGTCAGCTACACTCTGTTGAGCCCACACTGTTAGACCCCACGTGGGCCAAGTCTGCTCTGATTGGTCTGCCGATCCGCTCTGTCATTATTGGTCAGTTGCTCAGCACGAGTCTCGGAAATTTCAACATGAGCTGCAGGGCTTGCCACAACGAGCCAATGGGCTTAGATCAGTGATCTCACACTGACAATGACGTCACACTGACAGATTTTTATCGAGGGGGGGCTAGAACCGAGCGTTACATGCGGCTAATGCTACAGCTAACAGGAGGACGTAGGAGAAGCAGCGTTTCTGCGGATTTTAAATTTTTGCACATAGATGTGCCTAAACATGCACAGGACACTTGGAAAACACACTAAAGAGCATATAAAACCAGAAGAAGAAGAATATGGGACCTTTAAAATAGTTCTTAGATCCTGCGGTGCAGAATCAATAAAAAGTGGGAGGGCTCCAACAGTTCCTAGAACTATGAAAAACTTCCTGTGGTCTGAAAACAGCTACAATACATGTGGCCAGACTTTTTTTTAAGCATATACAAAAAAAAAAAAAGAACACAGCTCAGGAAACAGAGTTTAATGATTTTTTTGGAAAAAAGCAGCACTTGTTTCCATAAAAGCTATAATCTTGAAAAGCTCAAGAAGGACAGAAATAAATCTGAGATGTACGAGGTAAACTTGCACGTCTCAACTTAAATCACTTGAAGTATGTTATTAAGAACAAAACGTCAGTCTGGAGCAAGCTGAAACCATCATACTGTTTGTGTGGGTGCTTGTGAGTACGTGTTGTTTTGTCATTCTGTTTGACGCCTCGCTCCGTGTAACTGTCCTGTAAAGTACTGATAAAATAATGTCTGTGAAGCTTCTTTCAATCTGTGGGTGGACAAGTTTCCCTCGAACTGATCTATCAGCCTGTAGTGTAAAACAGTGAGGGAGGTTTAAATCACACTGGTTGACTTCTCCATGTGTCTGTGGAAAGCTCTACAGCAGCTGTTCTACAAGCTAACCAAACTTCAACACTTGATTTACAGCTTCTACAGCTTATTTGTTGGCACGCCATTGAGTCCATTCTCCCAACTGTTGCTTAAATATCTCGCCGTATGTCATTCCTATCTTATCCAATCTTATCCAAGCTGTAGCCAAGTTTAGAGCTACAAGTTAATTTAATGTTAGAATCTGTAACGACACAGATGCATCCCAGCTCAAAATAACTTTAAAAAATCTGTCTTGTCCTTTTTTTTTAACCGCAATGGCTTGATTTTAGGGAAGCACTTTTTTTTTAGCTTTGAGCTAAAATTGTGTTTTCAACATGTCTCATTTTAAATGTCGTTCCCCTCTAATGGCCTCTCTCTCTCTTTTAGTCTTTGCTAAGGTCTGCTTCCTCTCCAAAGTGAGTCAAGCTTGCCCCTAAAGCAGGAGGTGACAGGTTAACAGGGGAGCTTGTAAAAGAATATTTGGTGTGGTTTGTGTATGTAGCATCGTGCACAGAGCAGCTGTGAGCTGACGACAGAACGTCTGCATCACATCAGATTTCAATCTGCATTTGAAGTTCCATTGACATGATTATTTCCTTCACTGTTTATTTCTCTTTGTTAATGTATTTGCTCTCTATCATCTGCAGTATTATAAAACCTGTCTCCTTGCATTTTATGTTCCTAAGCTGCACTTAGCTGCTCAAGTTTGTTTCTTTGAGGTGGAAATAAAAGCCACTGATGATTACCAATTATAGAGTAAAAATCCTAAATTATGTAAAACAATTCTTAATTTCATGCTAAGGTTTAATTCGTTTATTTCTGTATACAGAGAGAGCTCAACTGCATTCATATTTCAGATCAGACGCTGATAAGAAAACTCACACATTGATAATAACACAATAACTACTTCCTGTTTTAAGTGCAGCAGGACCCCAAATATGACGATGCAGTGATGTTAAAGGATATACATGCATCCCTATTATGGCAGGGTTTAATTAACAGAGAGGGAAATAACACAGCATGCGGCACACACAGTTAAATGACTTAATGGCTTCCGTTCAGAGGGATGCTAGCACAAGTGCTAACGTAATTAGCGGTCTCTTCTGAAGACACAGTAATGTCATTCCAGGAAAAGCCGAAGGACAGGAAGCCAAACAGGACAAGAAGCTGCCAAGCCGAAAAAAAAACCAAAACACTACATGTCACTTACAGAGCAGCAGTACACTGACCAGAGCAACACATTCTGAACTTAAGAAAAAGAGAAAGGGAGCTTCCTGCAGAGGAACTATTTTGAAGGTAATGATTATTGGTCTCTGAAATGAAGTTGTAGGTTTGGGACAATCTTGAAGGAGTGTAAGTATAACATTAGAAAGTGCAAACAAACACAGAACACAGGAAACACCACCCTAAGCAGCATGTAGAGTGTTATTATAATAATAGCTCTGTGAGGTCCACAGGACGAGGTCAGCACTCACGCTGCCTTCACGTCAAACGCTGCAATTATATCCTTCTCCCTTCACTGAATCGAGTGCACAAAGACATGAGCTCATTCTAAGCTTTTACTGTCACAATGCAGATTTTCACCCGAGCATTTTTAGGTAAAACTAGACAGATGCTGCACTTCATTAATATTCACAAGTTGAAGCAGAGG